TGTCTTGCCAGTTCGTCGGCTATGCAATTTCCCTCGATATCCCTATGGTAATACTAATACCGCCAAATGAGGTAGACTGAGAGCTGTGCTGCCATCTCATGAAGAGATTTGAGACAGTTGTGAACTGACATCGAGTTCAGTATTGGCATTTGGGTATTTTATTGCCGCTTGGATATCCGAGTATATACAGATTTCTCTGATGTCTGTGACTGGGCTTGGCAGTATTAGAAGAGCTTCTTGAATAGCTAAGATTTCCGCTTGAAACACACTGCAGTGATCCGGTGACCTGAAGGTTTTTTCGATGCCAAGTTCTTCGCAAAAGACGCCTCCGGCTACGCGGTTGTCTAATTTAGAACCGTCTGTGTAAATTTTGATTGAATTCGTGGGGCCTGGAGGGCCGGAATTCCATTCTTCCCTAGAATGATGGTGTGAAAGGGAGAGTGGGGATACTCTTCGGGGATACAGTAGTCAGTGACTGAGAGGATTGTGTCATTTCCTCTCAGGATTTTCGCATGACCAATAGATTCATCTGACCACTGGTTGGTTCCTCTCATGCAGAACCGCCAACGTGGCGTTCATCTTCCTCATGAAATTGTTAGTTCAGCCTGTCGTTGAACTTTGTTTATTCTCTGAAGAGACGATTTTTTTGTAAGTGATGGCCACCATATAGAGACTCCATATAAGAGTATGGGTCTGATTATTGCAGTGCATAGCCAGTGGATTACATAAGGGGCCATGCCCCATTTCAGTCCAATGGATTGCCTGCAGGTATAGAGTGCGATTGTTGCTTTTCTCACTCTGTCTTCAATGTTCAAGTTCCAGTCCAGCTTCCTATCCAGTATCAAACCTAGATATTTGGCTGAGCTGCTGAAAGATAGTGGAACCCCATTTAGGGGACGAAGAGGATGAATTTTATATTTTCTAGTGAATAACACCAGCCCTGTTTTGCTGGGGTTCACACTTAGGCCACTTGACGTCGCCCAAGTTGACAGTGTGCTAATGCATCGGTCATGAGTTCGCACAGAGTTTGAAGGAATTTAACCGAGAAGAAGATGCTTACGTCATCTGCGTATGCTACAGCTCCGCATCCTCCTATTCCTTCCAAGGATCGTAGGAGTGTGTTGACCGCCACGTTCCATAGGAAGGGTGACAGGACGCCGCCCTGAGGCGTTCCGTTACTTACATACCTGGATATCGTGGACAATCCCAGTGTAGACTCGATGTACCGCCTGATGAGAAGCTTACCAGTTCTTCAATGGACTTGTCCATTCCCAGGTGTGTAAGTGAGCTTGTGATGGCGCTAGGAGACACATTGTTGAAAGCACATTCTATGTCCAAGAAGGCGGTAAGGGTGTACTGTTTGGTGTTGAGGGCTTTTTCGATGCCCGAACTCACAGCATGGAGTGCCGGAAATGATGAGAGACTTATCGGTCTGAAATCTTTTGGAGTAGTTTGCTAAGCTTTACCTGGTTTGGGTATGAATACCACTCTTGATATAAGCCAATCTTCTGGGATATTCCTTGTCAGGAAGATTTTGTGAAAAATATATGCCAACCATCTGATGGCAGTATTTCCTGCGTGAATTAGCTGAGCCGGAATAATGCTATCCGGCCCTGCAGATTTGAAGGGCTTGAAGCTTTTTATCGCCCACCTGATATTATTTTTAGATAATAGATCGGGCGGCGTTTGAGCTGGACCAGCGCTTGACGCACTGCTGGTCACTTTAGTGTTTATGAAACTAGGAAAATGGGTACCTAGAAGCAACTCTAGTTACTCTTGACTCGAGCTCGTCCAAGTCTTGTCTGGCTTCTGAAGGTAACCCAGTGTTGATGGAGTTTTTGAGAGAACTTTCCTTAACCTTGCGGCGTCGGAGGTGTTCTCGATATCTGGGCAGCAGTTCTGCCACGAAGATCGATTAGCTTGTCTGGGTATTTTCTTGTACTCTGACAGGCCCTGTTTGTATGCACACCAGTGTTGTTCTCCCCCTTGGGATCTGGCTGCGTTGAAGAGCGTCCTGGCCTTTTTTCTTGACTCACTGACTTGTGGAGTCCACCAGGAAGGCTTCAGTTTTCCCCTTGGTTTCCCAATGGGGCATGATTTCTGCAGCGCGATTTCGCACGCTGCAGTGAATTTATATATTAGCGTCGAGGTGAATTTGACTGTGTATGGGGGTTAGTCTGGTAATATATAACTTAGGTGATTAATGTACGAGGACCAATTTGTGCGGATTCCTGGTCGTGATTGGTCTTTCGTTCTTTAGAGATACTTCGAATTCAATGTATCTGTGGTCTGAGAAGAAGTGTTCCGGTAGAACTCTCTACTTGGATATACGATTGTAAAGTGCGTCTGACGTCAAAGTAAGGTCAAGAAGCTGGCTTCGGGTCCTAATCACAAAAGGTGGATCTGATCCAACATTGCCTGTGCTTTTAGCTGCAATCAGCTTATACTCCTTCGTCCCCAATCCTCTACAAGCCTAAAGTTCCTGAATGAGGACTATGTCGATGTCGTCTTTACTCAGACGATGTAGTAGAATGCAGAATTAACTCTTAGTGAAAACCTTTCATTGAAATGTTCCGCCAAGAACACACAAAGATTCTTCGTCTCCACCCTGGGGTTCCTATCCACACAGTTTATCACATATCAGCTGCTACTTCACAAAGAACTACACAGTAAAGTAAAACTCCAGTAACGTATTTACGGACTAAGACTCTCTTTTCACCTTCCAGGTCACTGCAGCGTTGGCCAATCGGAGTGTGCGCAACGACTGCAATTTAGCAAATGAGTTCACCTTGGACTGCAAATCGTTAAGAAGATGGCTAGGTGTTTAGTCGATCCCTGCAATTTCAGAAGCCAGAGCTCCTGCATTACAATTTTTGCCATAATATTAACATAATAACAGGGCATAGCAAACCTAGTGGGTTATATAAAAGAGAAATAGAATATAAGAATTCCCGTTTTATAAATTCTTAGGCACTATCATGCCAGAAATGGTACCGCGTTCGTACCATATGTTACTCTCTTTAATTGGTATATTTGTTCTAATTTATTTTACAATTAAATATTGTGTATGTTAAGAGGCCCTCAAGGGCAAAGTATGTCACTGTCTTAATGTACGCCTAGGTAGGATACCTTGTCGGCTTGTGAAATGTGTGCCAGGCTGCAAACAATATCTTCCCAAATTTCTGTGAATTAGCTAAATATGTTATTCACCTGGCACCACTAATGTTATGGTTCGCAACATATCCTTAGTTTTCATTGAAACTTCTTTGAATACACACCCTGCACAACAAGTACTACGTTAAATACTGCAAGAGATGTGATGCAATTCACCTGTTCGATCGTTAAATGTTGTATTCGAAAACCAAATTGGTGCAGAAGCATTGTGTTGAGCATTTTGAGGCATTTCAGGCTAACGCGCAGGCAGTAACAGCTTTGGAAGACAGGATTGTCAGCCTTTTGGAATTTACGTCGATGGGTGTGTCTTATGTTTTCACAGCTTAGGAATCATCACTCTGATCGACTTCTTCTACATTCTCATGAAATATCCATTGCGTTGAAAAGCTTGCAGATGCATAAAAACGTATACCTATGGACTTCGATGATAATTTTCTGAATTATTTAATCGAAACCAGGCGAATTTCTAAGCTTCATAATTATACTCGGCTTGAATTAAATGTGTTCTAACGGCCCCAATAAATTGGTAATTGACGAAGACGTAACACATATCACTGCGAATCCAGCTTCCAGTGAGGCTCCGTAATGGTATAACTGATTCGATTGAAGCGCCTTATTTCAGTGAACTCTCCACAATATATGCTTTTTGCTCGGGGGAGAGAGTTGCTCTATGTACTGAAGTTGAGGATTCGATTCGTATATCTTGGACGCCTTGCTGAGCCTGCGAGTAGCTTCTTTCAGTCTGTACTTTGTACCGCAGTCCCCGCTTTTCCAGGTGTTCACTTCTCAATTTGTTCTGATGTGGCTCGACTTTGCAGATGTCCCTTGCAGTGTTGAGGCGGCAAGTAGTACAGACGTAAGTGTATCTGACGAATGGTAACAATAATCCTGGTGACTGCGTAATCAATAAGTTTTGACATTTTTTGAGCAGCTGCTGGAAAGCTTGTCAAACTTGTGAAGTAATTTCATTCCCGCCTTGTACAGCTGTTTCCCTTTAGAGCTAGCGCCTCAAAACGGTATCGTTTATGGCGATCATCATGGGATCGCACCTACGCTGCCCAAGTGGCAAGCTGTGAGCTGGAAAGCCTTAGCGGTACCGAGCTCTTCTTTTTTAACCATACTAGTAGATGGTTGAAAGGATGTTGGACAAAGATATAACATTGTCCACTAAATTATCGAAGGGCCAAACAAAGCGTTCTCAATCGGAATATTTGCCACTAAATTTCGGATACCTCATTGATCGAAGTTTCCTGCTATGAGATAGTCCCCTCATTGCATTTTTTATCTGAGCACTACCCTGAACTGTGAACGCTAGATAAACTTCTTAAAATCCAAGCCCAATCCAGTGAGGCACGAAGTCCGAAAATCACGTGCAGGACGCATCCAATCACGAAAACAATTAAACGATGAACGAAACCTACAACGAAAAGTTACGTTCATATACATACAATGCAAACAATACCTATGCTAGCTCACAGCATCACAAGAGAATATAAGGTGATTTTATAGTTGCTATACGCGCACTGCGCACTTTATAACTTCTCGCATTTTTCAATTCAACTTCGACAATTTCAACTTTTACTGGACAAAGGGTTTTTCTTCATTACGATACAAATTATTGGGATATAAAGTTGTTACTTGGAGGTCTGCTCTTCTCAATGAAATGAAATAAGTGCAAGCTCTACGCTTCCTACCTTCCCGAAATCAGAAAAAACTAATTATATTAAAAATAAAATCGAGAGTTTAAATTAAGCTATATAATATTAAAAATCTGGTTAACACTGACTACCTAATCATACTATTTTGATCACTTTTGAACCTTTCAGGTTGCCGAGTGGATGGGAAGACGCGAAGCATGGTCAACGGAGAAACCATCAGATTTACAAACTAAGCCTACTCGATGGGAATACCAAGATGGCCGTGAAACAGTAGATCTGTATCACCGCAAAATTGATAACTTGGGTAATAAGGAAATGTACTCCGCAGGCCTTCACCAGAAACATGTTTACAATAAGTAAGTTAAAATTTATAAAAATGTTGCCAATAATTGATTTTTTGCGATTTTTAGAAACAGTAGAACGACAGCTGACCGTACTTATATTGATGTCCATAATCGTAAAACTGACTTGATAACTGATGGTGACCCATACATTCAGGATGATTTTGGACACCGACACTTAGAAAACAATGTAGTTCACTTTGCAGAAAACGAAATAAATAAAGAAAACAAGCACGCTCGCCAAGTAAATTTCGACCGAATGAAACACGACGATGATTCAATGCGCAGGCATGAAATAGAGCGAGGAAGCGATATATGTACCAACACAGAACAAATCAGCTTTCAAAACAAAGAAGAACTGTTTACTAAGAACGGAAATGTTGAAATTTTACAACTTAGGACCAGAGATAGGATGAGGAGTCGCACTGTTTTAGACGAAGAAAACACGTACGCCAATATTCCAAATAATTCATCCACTAACTTAACACAGCCACATCTTTTAATGGTAGATAACATGGGTAAAGAGATTCTTATGCGACGCTTTATAGAAGAACAGCCCGATGGCAAGCAGATAATACGAGAGCACTACCAAATTGTGCCTGGTGATACGTACATAAAGTCAATGCCTAATGAAATAAAACAGGCATCGATAGTAAAAATGGAAGAAGATACATTTAATTTAGGAAAATCGGGACCCAATAGTATTATATACTCACAAACAGAGCCCGAAATCAAAATCACACAGACACCACCGTCTCAGGCTATCGATACTATAACGCACATACATCCCACTGCGTCAAATATAACCATGACTCATAAGCTAGAAAAATCTCTAAATACGCAAAACGCTCTTCTTCGTCAAATTCTATTAGAGAAGACTAAATTACCAAATAAATCTGCTCAACACGAAATAACTTTAGAAACGCAGAGTCTTCCAGGTCAATCAAGTGTCATAGCCATAGCTACTCAAACGGATTGCGAAGCCGGTACTCAAACAGAAACCGTGCACAATTTAATGCAGAGCACCTTTGGTAAATTTGAAGTAATGCCTTCGCGAAGGCGAGCGCGAAGTGAGAATGATGATTTTATGTCTGAAAATTCCAAAGGTGTATATTATATAAAGCGCCGAATTAAAACATGTACCCGAAATCGGGTAGATCCGCACCAAAAAATATTAATTGTAGAAGACTTGAGGCGTAAACTTCACAAACCAACGAGGAAGGAAAACAATATTAATAAATACGTGAATGAACTAGGTGAAAAAAGTCATAGAACCGACTTACATAAGGAATCCAATGCATCCTTCAAGTCACAATCACTAAATCGAGAAATTCTAATGGAAATAACTGATTCGTTCAGCGCCTCTGCAAGTTCGGACGAGCAATATTATGAATACTCCGGGGAAGAGCAGGATGAAAATGATATTATATACTCTAGCGACTCAGATGCCAATGAAATTGTGATCCGAGAAAACAAATACTTACCCAGATCTATTCGCAACCGAGAGATGGAGAAATATTATGTTGATGATGAAAACAACTATCATTATAAAAACGAAATAAATAAAAAATCACCTAACGACGTTAAAATTCATTCGTGTTCAGAGCCGGAAGTACGGGAAAGATTATCACGCCTTGACCATTTTAGACACACGTTACGCAAGAAAAACTTTCATCAAAGCCCAGTATCTAAATTAAAAAAAAAAATTTGTAAAATTGACACGAACCCAAATACAAAAAACACTGAGATACCAAGTTCTAAGCATTTATTCAATGCTCGTAGCCACCCAGGTGAAAATGAACCAAAATATATGGAGAATAAACCCTTTTCAAATGACCGCACTTTAACTGAGTCTTCGAAGTTGCACAATTTAACCAGAAAAAAAATATTGTCCTCAGAAAAACTTGACCTTAAAACATCTAAAAGCATCAAACCTACACATGCCGCACATAAAAATAGAATTCAAAAACGAACAGAATCCAGCTCTCACCAAACACATAATGGAAACCGAATGCTAAAGGAAGATAGAGATGCGAATAGGCGAAACAGACCAAATGTTAAAAGGGATACAAGCCATCCTTTACTGCAACATTCAGAGCATCGATTCGAGCGAGAGAACGCGCCGGATATTCCACCACCACCCACAAAGCTACCACACTACATGTACCCAGAAACACCACCATATGCAACCAGATTAAAAAAGGATGAAGAAATTAAACAAAAACCATCACCTATCAAAGAAAATGAAGTAAAAGTTTCTAACTCGCATATAAATGTCTGCAAAGAAGACCAAAACTGTCTAACGGAAATCAATGCTCCTAAACACGACCAAATTAAATTAAATGTTTCCAAGCTAGAGGATGATCATGATTCAGGTATAGCAATGAATTCACTATTGAATAGTATGGGTCGTCGAAATCCTATAACTGAAAAGAAAAGTGTATTCTCTATTGCATATGATGATATAAGCCGCGTGAAAAAAATTACATCTGGAGCGGAATCTCCGCATTACTCATAGTGAAAGTTCTCCCCTCTAGCAGAGCAAGATCGCGGTTGCTATTAAATTATCTGTTTCACTGAAACATCAAATGACTTGCTGTTGCTGCTTTGGTTCAACTTTGTACTGCATACATACACGCATATAAATACGCAGAGACACGATTCTGATGTAAGTGTATGCTGTTGAAACTGTACATGAACATGTCTCCACTTTTTTTATATACATACAAGTATGTTAGTTTTCATTTCAAAGTATGTCCCGCTCTTTTAATTCGATTATTCAGTCACAACATAAATGTGATAACTATGTTTTTAATTTTAAGCAGATAAGCAACAAGTGGAGAAGAAAAAGTCGGATGCCCCGACTTTGAAATACTTCGTACATATATGTAGAATAATTATAGAAATTACATCCGTCACGCCGCCTTCTGCCAATTGCATTTTTCACCTCCCGCAAACCTAATATACTCTTGTGAATTTTATGTACGGAGTATAAAAATCGAACAAAGTGTACTGTACTCCTCTAATTAAGATTTATTCAACACAACTCAGAATGCAACAACTGAAAGCAGAAACAAAAATTGTTTAATATAAATTTTTACATCAACTAATATGTATTAAAGTATTAATAATAAAAAAATTATAAATGCAAATAATTTTGACTTTATTTATGTATTATTATACATACATACGAGTATAGTTAAGACATTCGGTTAGGTTAAATCGGTAGACCACTGGTGGCACTCCCTCATGGAGTGGGTTGTACCTTGGTGTTTTAGGTTATTTTTTGCTGGTTATTAATCTTACGTGAACTTCCAACAGTTTTTTTTAACGTTTTGAGCAGGAATGAAATGAGATAAACTTGTCCATAGTAACCGTAGGCATACTTCGTATATCAGGAGCACTCTTGGAGCCTATCTCTCGATTCTTCAAACTGGAAATATCCCATCCAATCCAGCGAACTTGTAGTTTTCAAATGAGTCCAAGGCCCATCCAACATTTTCCAGTGGACCTAACTCCAGAGATAGATCTATTAGCGTTGTTCAGATGTTTTGGATTCTTATCTTTTCATGCTTGTTTACGACGGTATCTTCTGTGCAGCCCAGAAAGTGCGTCTCAATTAGCGAACGCTATTTCGCTTCTGCTTCCCCGCTGCGCCCCTGCTGGTATTCGTCCAGATACTATATTCTGTTCTATATTGTGTCTGTATGCTTGGCTGGATCAAGAGCAGCTTCCTGAATCATACGGAGTTGGAGTTCAAATCATTTAAAGTTATATTTACTAAATAGAGATGGTTTTTTGGATCGTAGAATGAAATCATTGGAAATAAGTCTCCTTTCCTTTCGGTCCAATACCAAGTTAAGTTTGGCATACAGCACTGCCCTAAACTTGGAAGACGGTGAGGTTTAAATAATCTAGAGAAGTTCGACTGTGGAGATATTAGATTTACTTCTTCTGAGGATAGAATAGCAGCATAACACGACATAGCGAAAATCGGTGCTTGTTTTTGCTCGATCTTTGACGGATAAAGAAGCAGAGTGGAATATTCGGATAGAACAGCTAATGCAATGATTTTGGATACTGGAGAGTTGCATAGATGTGATGTTCAGGCACTCCATTTGAATTTAATTTTATTAGCACTGACTGAAGGAACAAATGCAAAAACTATAATCTATCTATATATGTATATAAAACAGTTTGTCTTAACTGACTGATTGGTGATCAACGCACAGCCCAAACGGTAAAAGCTAGGAACCTGAAATCTGGACTCAAGTATCCCACTGTGTCCACTAAGAAGATTTTGGAAAATTCGATCTCCAAAGGGGGAAAACAGACTCCAATGTTTGTATAAAAAATCAATACAATTTTGATGTGATTAACTTCAAACTTAGATTGTTTACTCCCAGAAAACTTCCAAGAAAAACTGCATACTTGGATTATTCGAATTTTTTTGGCGCCTGAAATATGAGATTTTTCCTGTAAAAAAAAGTTGGGACAAAAAAGGAAACCACGTCAACAGCCCATAGCCCAAACGGTAAGAGGTAGAAAGCTGAAATTTGGGGTCAAGTATCGCAATATAGTTTAGGTGCACACTAAGAAGAGATTTTGGAAAATTCGAGCTCCATAGAGCTTTAAAGTTTGTTTAAAAAATCTTCAGTTTTTCACTCGGTTTTTTTAAATTGGTCTTGGAGCTATTGGGGTTTTAATATTACTTTACTATTTTTATAGCCTGTACCCAAAGGGTGAAAGGCGAGTCGATAAAGCCATGTCCGTCTGTCCGTCCGTCCGTCTGTATGAACGCAAGGATCTAAGAAAGTATAAGAGCTAGAATAACCAAACTTGGTTTCCATTTTCTCCTAAGACCGACAAAGTACGAGTTTGAGTTTTTTTTCGATGCAACCCCCCCATTCCCCCACAATTCATGTTTTTTCTTATAACTTCCGTAATTCTCGGAATTTTGAAATCAACTTTGGTAGGTACATCCAGTTAGTACTAATGTGTCCGTGTGCCAAATTTTATCCATGATAAGTCAATTCTGCAGAAAGTTATAGCCATAAGTAAAATCGCTGCTCATGCGCTGCCTGCAGCTCTGTCGGCAGCGCTGCCCGCAGCTATTGTTGTTGTTGCTGCTTTGGTTCAACTTTGTGCTGCATACATACATGCATATAAACACGCATAGGTACGTGATGTAAATGTATGCTGTTAAAACTGAACATAAACATGTATTCTAATTTAATTAAATTAATTAATTCCTTCATTCATTTTTTTTAATAATTAAATTTTTTTTTAAATTTTTTTTTTTTAATTTTTTTTTTTTGTGGAGAGTATTACGGAGAATTACGGAAGTTATAAGAAAAAACATGAATTGCGGGGGAGTGGGGGGGTGTATCAGAAAAAATAAACAAACTCGATCTGCCTAGGGCTTATAGGAACCTTGATACCAATTTTGGTTATCCTAGCTCTTGTACTTACTGAGATCCTTGCGCTCATACAGACAGACGGACAGACGGTCATACGGACAGACAGAGAGACGGACATGGCTATATCGACTCGTCTTGTCATCCTGATCAAAAATATATATACTTTGTGGGGTCTGCCACGCCTCTTTCTGCCTGTTACATACATTCGCACAAAACTAGTATACCCTTTCACCCTTTGGGTACAGGGTATAAAAAGCTAAAGTCGGGTGTCCCGACAAACGTTAACCACAAACGTTAACCAAGAACTTCTGTCGTCTGAGACAGACTCCGATTATCAGGATGGCCGAATGTAAGAAGGGATAGTATTGTGGTCATGTGGCAACCCTATGGACAGAAGGTCAGTCAGTCAGTCGTTGAAACCGTCGTGCTTAAAAGTTGTAAAGTTGATAAGTAGTCAAGCTGAAAAGTTGTCGCGTCGAACATTAAGTTGCCATTTTGTCTACATTTACATTACCTATTACATAATAATAATACAAATAATAATATTAAAATGGATTAAACATTCATTTTTACATATATATATATACATATATATATATATATATATATATATACATATATATATATATATACATATATATATATATATATATACATATATATATATATATATATATATATATATATATATATATATATATATATATTTTGTTGTTGTTGCTGCTTTGGTTCAACTTTGTGCTGCATACATACATGCATATAAACACGCATAGGTACGTGATGTAAATGTATGCTGTTAAAACTGAACATAAACATGTATTCTAATTTAATTAAATTAATTAATTCCTTCATTCATTTTTTTTAATAATTAAATTTTTTTTTTAAATTTTTTTTTTTAATTTTTTTTTTTTTGTGGAGAGTATTACGGAGAATTACGGAAGTTATAAGAAAAAACATGAATTGCGGGGGAGTGGGGGGGTGTATCAGAAAAAATAAACAAACTCGATCTGCCTAGGGCTTATAGGAACCTTGATACCAATTTTGGTTATCCTAGCTCTTGTACTTACTGAGATCCTTGCGCTCATACAGACAGACGGACAGACGGTCATACGGACAGACAGAGAGACGGACATGGCTATATCGACTCGTCTTGTCATCCTGATCAAAAATATATATACTTTGTGGGGTCTGCCACGCCTCTTTCTGCCTGTTACATACATTCGCACAAAACTAGTATACCCTTTCACCCTTTGGGTACAGGGTATAAAAAGCTAAAGTCGGGTGTCCCGACAAACGTTAACCACAAACGTTAACCAAGAACTTCTGTCGTCTGAGACAGACTCCGATTATCAGGATGGCCGAATGTAAGAAGGGATAGTATTGTGGTCATGTGGCAACCCTATGGACAGAAGGTCAGTCAGTCAGTCGTTGAAACCGTCGTGCTTAAAAGTTGTAAAGTTGATAAGTAGTCAAGCTGAAAAGTTGTCGCGTCGAACATTAAGTTGCCATTTTGTCTACATTTACATTACCTATTACATAATAATAATACAAATAATAATATTAAAATGGATTAAACATTCATTTTTACATATATATATACATATATATATATATATATACATATATATATATATATATATATATATATATATAAATTTGTTCATCTTCATTGATTTGTTTCTTAGCGGCTTCTCGAATTCTCTGCCTCTCACTGTCAAAATCCTCGATGATCTCCTGCTCTAGCAATGTACGCAACGGCTTGTTACCTTTCTCAATACAGTAAAGGTGTCCTTCTTGCTTTCCTGTTTTCTTGTTGTGGATGATACAGCGTATGCAGCTATTAACAACTTGCATAATCTCATTCTCCATATGTGGTATCCAAAATTGCTGCTGCAAGTTATGCATTGTTTTTTTTTGGTTGAGTAGTGGCCATCATTGTGTGCAGTAGTTAAAATTTCATGTTCCATCAACTTAGGTACGACCAACAAATCGTTGCCATCAACTTGCTTGTACAAAACTCCACCTTTAAGCGTAAATGATTCATATGGACGGCTTTTAAGTACTTCCAGTATAGTTCTTATGTAGTCATCTTTCTGTTGAGCCACTTTAATACGTGCAGAAACTTCTGATGTAACAACAAGTACATTCAACGGGTAACGACTCAAAAAATCGACGTGTTGCATTTTTTCCTCCTCGATGCTCGATGCTCGATTTGGTAGTGAGTGTCTTCTAGGCGTGGTACGTTTTTCTTCTTGACGGTTTGTGTAAATGCTGAACAGTCTGTTACTAATTTAAATTTGATCCCAAGCAGATAATGGCGAAATTTTTCCATAGCAAGATAAGCAGCTTTTACCTCTAGAGGGTAACTATGAGGGTAACATTGAATCACTCGGTGATGCCTTTTTGCTCCAATAAAATACTGGATGCATACGTTCTTCAAATTTCTGGAATAACGTAGCGCCGAATCCTTCTATTGACGCATCTGTATGCAGTTCCGTAGGTGCACCGCGACAATATAATCTCAAAACAGGT